AAAAAAAAAAATCATCATTTTGGGCATAGGGTACCTTTTCTTAACTATCACTTGATTTAACTTTCAATAATCTATACAAAGTTACAAGGAACTATCTTTCTTCTTTACAAACAACATTGAAACACCTATGAAGAAGAAACACACATCCAAATAAAACCTTTATCTAATAGTTCTTGTAATTCTTTCTTTAACTCAACTATTGCTATAAGGGTCATCCCATATAGGGGTTATGTTATTGATGTAGTTTCACGCACCTAGTCAATTATAAATTCATCCCTTTCTCCTAAGCAGTAATCCATGTAGTTCTTTTGGAAAAACATCCTTAAAATTCTCCTCTACCCTGATTCCTTTCACACTACTAGGCTTGCTTTTATTTTCAAAAATATAAGCAAGATATCTTGTACAACTTTGCTGTAATAATTTTCCAACCCTTGTGCAAGAAACCATTGTAGGATTTGCATGTAAACCCTCGCTCCTAAATTGAATAATAAGTTTATTAGGAATCTAAAAGGTAACAACTAGTCCATTCTTGAATTACATCAAATTCATCTAGATTAAGAAGAATCATGTCAGCTAGCGTAAATTGCCCATTAACAACATAGCATCCTCTATACATTGTATAAAAGGATAAAATAGCTCCAAAGATGGCTTTCAATTCATAACCTAGGTTTAACATGCAAAGATGTAGCATACTTGGGAGATGCAAAAGAATTTTTTTTTTTTTTTTTTTGAACAGCAAACATACTATTATTAATTAATAAGCGGAATACAAGGGTACTCTAAACTCATGCACATCAAAAAATTAACGCAAGGTGTCGACACCACAGAATAAGTGTCGACACTACACCCGTGTCGGGAAATCTGCTTTCTTTTGCATTCTCAAGAAATCTCCCTGTTTAGGACCACAATCCACACCCGACACACCCATTGACCCACCAGCTATTGATCATGCATTGACTATAGCTGAACCCACTGCAGTCAATGATTGCTCAATAATCCTACATGAGTCCCCATAACATAGCATCTAATCCTTCAAAACAAAACTCAACTAGCCTTCCACCTAATTGCATTACCCTCCCGCCCACATATTATTTATATGGTACCCTTCTTTTCCTAAGGCCATCTTCCAAGCATGCCACTGGATTAAGAAACCAATCCGTTAAAGTGAAGGCGTACCTTTCTTTTTTTGCTGTGATCCACTGAAACGATTTTAATTGGATTAGTTCCAGCAGCTTCTCTCTGTTAAACTCTTTGCCTTGGAATGTTTTTTGATTTCGAGCCAGCCACACTGTCCACACAAGAGAATTCCAAATGCAATCCCACCCTTCTCTGACACCTTTCTCTTTTAGTTCTCTTCCAGTCACTTGAAAGGTATTCCAGCAATCCGCTCCCAAAGTAACATTAATACCCCACCATTTTGCACAAGCCCTCCATATCCATCGGACCATACTACACTCCAGAAACAGATGCTTTGAATCCTCTTCTTCCTCACCACAAAATCCGCATTTGCAATCTTGATTGTCTTTGATGATCCCTCTTGTCAACAGATTCATCTTAGTTGGAATCCTGTCAAGTAGTAATTGCCAGTTGAATACTGAAATTTTGCTTGGCAGAACAGAGTTCCAAATTCTATTGAAGGCTGTAATTTCCGTTGCTTCCCTCCCCTCCTTCGTCAATATTGAATATGCTGATTTTGTTGAGTATTGGCCATCCTTGTTGTGTATCCACTCCCAACTATCCGTACATCCTTGTGACGGTTGCACATTGGAGATGCAAAAGAATTAGTTGACCTAGGGCTATTAAGATGCTAGCAACTCCATTTAAAATAGGGAGTTCACTTGGATCACAACCGGGAAACAAGCTTGGACCACAACCGGGTTCCCTTGTTTCTTTCCAGTGAGGACAAACACCTTTCTCACAACTTTTTTTTTTCTCCGCTGGGTTCGGTTCAACAAAATTTTTGGCTAGGTTACCCACTTTGCCACACTTAAAACAAGTCCTTTTTTGCCAATTACAATTTTTGCCTTCATGCTTTATGTAACATACTTTGCAATTTCCCACCTTTACCTCAATGTTGATAAATCCCTTTCTTTTTCCTTTTCTCTTAAATTTCTTGTTTTAAGGCTAAATATTAAAAGTTTTTCTCTTATCTCTCTACTCACTAGAATTCCCTTTCTTGGTATCATGGTACGGCTCAATAATTTGTGTCGTCTTTATAGTAGCAAAGTATGTGCCACTTCATGTGCTACCACCTGACTTCCAACAAAAGTGTCCAATCCCTTTATAAACTACCTCACCTTGGTTAGCTTATTAGTCACCATATTGGGAACAAACTATATACCAAATCGCTAAACTTAGGCTAGTACTTGTCCACTGTCATCTCCCCTTGTGTTAAAATGTTCAACTCTTTTTCCTTTTTCTTGAGAGTGGCCTGGGAAATGTAAGTTTTATATAGTTCTTTCATGAAACTTTTCCAAGCTATAACCTCCCATTCTTTTCACATAACTTTCTTGCATAGGTTGCCACTAATTCCTAGCTTCACCTCTTAGCATAAAAATGGCCAAATGAACCTTATAAAGATCCTTGATTCTCATCCCTTGAAAAATTTGCTCCAAATCCTTCACCATTCATCAACATTCGTGGTTTCATAAGTTCCCATAGAAGCAAGTGGATTCCACTTTTGAAATTGTTTGAGTTTAGCTTGGTACTCAAGGTTTCCACTTGCTCAGCCTCAACCAGTGTCTCATTAGTTCTAGCATGTTATCCTTGGGTGCTTGGCTATTGATTCATGTTCTACAATGTCTACTGCACTGTTTGTTGTACTATTTTCTATATTGCTTAAGTTTCCGTGGAATTTTTAGGAAATTCACCAACCTTAGGATTTTGTGGCTACCATCATTACCACCAGCTCCAATTAACTTGAGGAGCAACCCCAAATAACTTTGAGTCATTTCAACACAACTAACTTTAGGAGCTGTTTCCCTAACCATTAGCGTAAGTATTTTACTTATTTCAACCTCAATTAACTTTAGAAGCAGCCTCAAGTTACTTTTGGAGCTCTTTACCACAGATTCAAAAATGCAACATGCTTTTATGATGCTTATTCAGTGCATTATTTAAATTCTAGCTTACATAAACATGTGTACAAGGAAAATAACATAATTGCATGACTAACACAGTCCATTCTTTAAAATAGTTTGTAGATTTTTCAACTAGAAAATCATCCACCACAAAGTACAAGAATACAAAGAAGAGGAGAAGTGCAACTCTAAGGTAAATTTCTACTTTCAATTACATTAATAACATTGCATGTCTAAAACTTACTGTTTTTTTACTATACTTCTTCCTTTCATTGATTTCATCACAAATAATTTTGACAATAAAATTCCATATTAAGTTGGACTTAGTTTATTTTTTTTCAAAAAGCAAAAGAATTTTTATTGATTGAGTACAAAAAGTACTCAGAACCAATATACATACTAGGTAACAAACTATTAGCTCATGTCAAAAATTTCTACCTGTCCCTAAAAATGGTATAGGCTAACATCATGCTCATACCTTTAAAAACTACAGCAACACCTAGGATTAATAATCCAATATGGTGGATGTAAATGTCTTACCTTCCCTTTGATCTTAATCCACTGAAAGGCTCTCATCGGTATTTGATCAAATATATCATTTTCTTGTCTACAGCTTCGTTCTTAAATTGTTTCTCATCATTTCTAGTATTCCAAGTTGTCCAAACTAAAGCATACCAAACAACGACCCATCTCAC